CCTCGTCCTCCTCATCGGTAATGTTGTCAGAGCCATACTCGGCCGAGGAACTCGATATGCTTGACGTGTTACCGAGCTTCTTCCTATCCGAATTGACGTCTATCGCCTGAGCCCCATTCCTTCCCCCTCGGACCTTTCCCATTTGCTTTCCAAGCTGGGCTGCTGCCGTGCCACTTGACATATCGGCAGACGGGCTCCTCGCAAGGAATAGCAACCCCTCCAGTGCCTCGTGCTCCATTTCCCCTTCACTAGCAGTCGGGATGCTTGATGGTCGCACTTTTCGACTGCGATTTCTGCGGGAAGAGCTCAACTGACCCTCTTCTTTTGGGCACCACCCCGGGTGTTGGAGCATCCAAGCTTCAAGATTTCTGCGATACGGAGCCGCAATTCCGGAGATCGTCCGGCCATTGCTGGGATTCCACACCGTCACACGAGGTTCACGAGGTGCGCGAAATGATTTTTCGAGAAATGAGGCACCCAAGTTCCCACGGAAAGAAGGCAAAGAATTGGGAGCAAAGGCCTCAAACCCGGCCCCGTCATTCTCATATGAGCCCACCGATGCAGGCGCATCCACCCCTGAGTAGTCCACGCCGCCAAACGAAACGGAACTAAATGAGCCTGGCATGCTTGTGTTGCCTGCCAGTTCCCGCTTACTCTTCGCGATTCCACGCGTCAACATGTGATGCGCACACGAAACTATCGTGCCCTGCAACTTTGCACCCCCTATCTGGCTAGCCACATCGGCCCAGCGATTGTCATCGAGTTCCGCTGGGTTGCACTGTTGCGCATGACATTCTTGTCCAAGACGGAACAGCGCTTCCTGAAGTCGAACAAAATCGTCGGCCGTCCAAGTCATCATGGCCTCCTCGGTGCAGAAATCTTCATCGCCGAGTGCTTCCAAGCATCTCGCTCCATCGCTCGCGAGAAAGCTGGCAACGGGATAACAGCAGAGGGCCGCGAAAGAATCTGCAGCGCTCTTCGATCTACGTGCTGCTGAGCGCCTCTTCGATGACTTGAGCTCATCGGCTTTTTCCTCCCAACCGGGATGTCCTTGCAACCAGGTGGCAAGATTACGCCTGTAGGGAGCAGCGTTTCCTGCGACAGTCTTTCCAGTCTGGGGTTCCCAGACAGTTACATGCTCGTCCTCGGCCGAAACGCCTCCAAACAAGGTTGCGGGAAAGCTGGGCGTGAGGTTCGGCATGGACTGGGGGATGGCTGCAGTGGGTGAAAACGAGATGATGTGGGAACCAAGTGCAGTGGACGCACCCAAGGAAGGGTCGATGGGGGGACGAGAATCTCCAGGGATGCGGGAAGCGGAGGGACGTGGAATCTGCACCGGGGCTGAATGTGCGAAGGATGGAGTTGTCGGAGAGGATGGCTGCTCTGCGGAAGCTAAGGGCAAAGAATCGAGGCTTGCCAAGTTTGATGCGAGATTCGGGTTAGAAGATTGCGCAGGGGGAGCGGCGGTGACGTTGATGATTGGATTGAACCTCGAGGATATGATGAGATGCTGAGAGGCTTGAGGCGGGGGTGTTGCGGCGGATGAGGAGCGAGATTGTTTGAGCTTGAACATGGCCGGTGCATAACCGGTGGGAGGAGCAAACGCGGATGGCGAGGTGGGCTTGCCGATATTGGGGCAGAAGACTGAGGGAGAGCCTGCAATCGGGACTGGCATGCTTTGTGTAGGAGGATTTCTATCATAGAAGGGCACACTCTCCAAAAGTCGAGACAGTCCATTTGCCTGATATCAGGCGTCATAGCAGGCTGTGTAGTACACTCTTTTGGACCAGCAACCCGCGTGCGACCACATCTCGTTTAATTTCGAAACGTAACCGTGGGTTTCGTGCCTATTCTGGACATCTTTGTATGTCTTAAGTTAGAGTTAGTGAGCTAGTTAGTTGTCGGCGAATTCAGGAACCATGGATACATCGTTATTTTCGTCTGCAGCCAATGAGTCGGAGGCTTGTCGTGAGGCGGCATCGAAAATATGTCATCGTCCTCGTCGCTATCATTGTTTAGGGATGTGCCTTCAGCCGCTGTAGATAGACCTTCATAACTGAAGAAATCACCTTTCCCTTGCCTTCTCGTCCTTCCTAGTCTGGGGCGGAAGCGGAAGTTGGTCCGGGCCCTGGACCAGTGCCACTGGCCCTCTTGCCTCATGTGAGGCAAGAGGTCCAGATCCAGAGCCTGAGGATATCACAGTAACCTTGTTCAGTGCTCTCGCGCAGCCCCGAGATAGAGTCTATCCTCCATCTGATTGACATCGCTGCTTTTCCCAGGAGCCTCGAAAGTACCCTATGTTGAACGTGACAGCTTTTACAACGGCACACGTGCGCATTACCACGACGCACAAGTTGGCAACGTGTAAGTCGTGGCTACCGTTGTCTAAAGTAGTTTCTTCATGAAGAATCATGAAGTTTCTCAGTTTCTGCATGAATAAACAAGCAAAAAGCAAAAATGAAAAAACTACCTGTAATCGCGGGTTCGAACCAGCGTAAACTCCCAAATATTATGAATTTTAAGTACAGTAGTACCTGAAAAAAGCGACTCGAAACTCAAAATGAGAATGGTTTGATGCATCGCTGGATTTAAATTTTTGGCAAATTTTTGGATTTGCACGCGCGCGCTGGAGAGCGCGCCTACATGTGTCTGGCACGTTTGCTGGGGAGCATGATCTAGGAACAAGGTAACATTTTTGATTATTTCTGAGACTATCTCCAAGTGGATGGCCCTCGTGCAGTACGACAAGAAAAGCTAATAGTCGGCCCCTTGCCGGGCGTCACATACTGTAATATCGCTATATTAGCGACGCACTGGTTGTGTTGCGCACTGTTTAGAGCGCTGCATGGCTAAAAATGTGCGCTTTAAATTAGCGCACTACCCTTCGAAGGGTAAATTGCCTTGCTCTTCAGAGAAAAAGCTCAGATGAGCTTTTGCGTCGTCGTCTGGTTTTCTGGGTTACAGTCAACAGTTGGCCCGATACTGTAACGATTCGAAGGGTACGAAGGGTACTTCACTACAGTACCTCTTTATAAGTACAATTTGTCATACATCCTCGGTTAATAACTTTCTTCGATAAAAGAAAGTCATCGCCTTCCACCGCCACATTGCTTATACTGTATCGAAGAATTTTGTATTTTTATCAAAAGACATCTTCTGCCTTGTACCGAGTTCCCCAAACTTGATGCTGTACAGAGCGGCAACGATGGCGGGGTGCTCGGGTGCCCCGCAAGCGGGCGGAAGACACTGCGGGGCCGTGTACCGTAAAGCGGCCGTGTTCCCGTGCGGGCGTCGCAACGCCCGCGGGTGGAGGGGGCGCTGTCGATGTCAAGGCAGTCGGGCGGAGAGGGGGCCGCGGAGAGGGGGCGCATGCTTGCTACGTTGCTGCCATGGATGAGTGGCTTGACGTGGAAGGAAGGGCCGAGACATACAAAGACACGGAAATGTTCGAAAACTATTGAGTTTCACTAAAAATGCGCTCTGCAAACCTTGCGGGCGAGTACGCCACTGGAAGAACATTGTTGTACAGTATGGGAGAAAGTCAAAAACTGATCTCACATGCATGTCGTCAAAAAGTTATAGAGCTAACCATTTTACGTGAGCGCATGACTGAAGTAAAAATGCATAGCAGGCAATGAGACGGCAGCATACCATGGTGGCCTACTAGAGTAGGAATACGCTACAGTACTACACATCTAAGGGGGCAGCGCCATGACGAGAAATTACAAAGTATACGCGCGCAGGGCAGCAGGTTTGTTGAGAGGCCAGAAATGAGTAAGGAAGGACACAGTTTCCTCCGAAGGAGAGGCGACCCTCGGCTGACGCTAGCTCACTCACGCGACCGCTCGAAGACAGGAGATCCGAATCCCTTACCACTCCAGGAACGTATCCGTGAGAACATGTTCGTGGCTGCGAAAGTCTAGTCGAGCGTTGCGTACAATACAGCATTGCACTGCGGGCAGAACACGTGGTGCAGATCACCCCGTGCACCAGCGATAAGCTTCCATAAGTGTGTTTGGGGCGTACAATCTTAGTGCGTAAAACAACTCACGAGGGGAATATTCTGATCACGCGGATTTCCGGGCTGCCAGCGATGCTTTTCAATGTTGTCAATTCCCCTCCAAAGCACCATAAGAACTAATTTCCATGCCAGCTAGCTGATATTTGTTCTCCTCAACGCATCTACTTCTTCCATCAATGTCCCATCTCTCTCTGCTCTCCTCAACGCATCAACATCTTCCATCTATGTCCAATCTCTCTGCGATACTCACCACGCACCTTGTGAATGTGCATGTAGTCATCCCGTCTTGTTTAAACTCTGACAACATGACCCAGGTAGCATCATAATGACTCAGAACATAATAGCAGCACACCCGCTAGGTGACCAAAGAAACTCTGAAATCACTGATTTCTCCCCCCGCAGAGTAGCTCACCATCATCAACGTCATCAACGTTGCCCCCTTAGTACTAACGTAACTTCAACAACAGCCTATCTGTTGCTACTCTAACCCCCATCAAAGTGTGCCGCGAGAAGTGGTGGTGGATTCTTGCCTCCAAATTAATCTCTGCAGTCGGGCCCAATTTTGCATGAAATGCGTGTTTCAAGACAACATTAATTTGAGTGGATGACTCTATACACCCTAACACGCTCCGCCTGGCTACCTCTTGTGATATGCAGTACACCACAAAAGGAGAGTTCTCTTCCAGACCGTAAAACCATATGCACTCGGGACTTCATTCGGCCTGGGTGCGCTCCATCACTGCGAGTACCAACTCGATGTGAAACGGGAGAGGGTACAGTATTGCATTCCATGTTTTTTTTTTGCGACTACAGCGCTGTACTGAATTATGACCATGCAAAGAGGTTTTACGCACACTAGATAGACCAATAATGAATGCTCCCGTCATAGATCTCTAGGAACGCTTAATACAAGCACTTATGGGTATATAACATTCCTCTTGAGAAGGGGTATCTAATTGCCCAGCCCTCAACTCTCAGTGAGAACTCGCAGCTGCCCAACCTCCGAAGTCTGCCATGGCCCACTCCTCTATTCTAAGTTTCATTGCCCTCATTTTGCTTTTGATCGCATTGTCTCAAGCTCAGCCGCCAGCAGGGAATGGTCGTGACGGCGAGGATCAGGGCCCCGTGGATGCTGGTACGGCGGTCTTCGATGGACGTATGGGCTTGAACTGCGCTGAGGAAGAGTTCCGTCGCTTTGATGGTGCATGCACCAACAGGGCTACTCCTTTACGGCAGCTGTTCGGTTCCACAAGGCTTCCTCAATTCAGTTACTTCGGCCGCCGTAGCTCTGACCGAATTAGAGATAATGTTCGTTCGCTCCCATCCCCTCGCCTCATTTCAAACATTGTAGCGAAGCAGACTATGGATGTTCGCGAGAGGCGCGGCTTGAATGAGCTCGTCACATTCTTTGGGCAGTTCATCGATCATACTCTTGTGGCTACTCCCGTGAACAACGGGGCATCGGAGGATGGAGAGACGGTTCCGAGAGAGCCGTTTTTCATTGATGTCCCAGAGGACGATCCTATGTTAGCTAACATAACGGGAGGACAGCTTCGCTTCTTCCGCTCCAGACGTGCCACTGTTGAGGAAAGGAGTACTGAGGTTCGCCCCATCAACTCGCTCACATCGTTGTTGGATCTCGACTCGGTGTATGGAGCAAGTGAGGAACGAGCCGGATTTCTGCGAACGAATAGCGGCGGTCTTATGAGAGTGGGCCGGAATAACTTGCTCCCTCAGAACAGCATGCGTTTGTCGAATGAGCCTCGCCTTGACAGAAAGTTCTTCGTCGCTGGCGATCTCCGGTCAAATGAACACCCGATGCTCACATCGATCCACACTATATTCCTTCGCGAACACAATGACATTGCCACTGAACTCCAGACCACTTTTCCGGATTTCAACGATGAAAGGCTGTACCAGACTGCCCGCCAGATCAACATCGCACAGTTCCAGAAGATTGTCTTCGACGAATGGTACCCCGCAATCACAGGCCGCCGTCTTCCTCTATGGAGGAGGTTCCAAGCTAACGTCGACCCCGCAGTTAGCGTCCTGTTCAGTACGGCCGCATTCCGTATCGGACACACGCTCGTGAACAACGTGGTGTCCCGTCAACGCAGTGGCAACCGCAACATGCGCCCCTTGACTCTACAGGATACTTTCTTCTCAAACGTCAATCTTATCCTGAACACCGGAATAGACTCTTTCCTTCGTGGTGCTGCAAACACAAGGGCACAAGAAGTTGACTTGATGGTTGTGGATGCGCTGCGCAACTTCCTTTTCACGAACGTCAATGGTGCAGATGGTCTGGACCTTATTGCATTGAACCTTCAGCGATCGCGCGACCATGGCGTGCCCTTCTACAATGACGTTCGTGCGCGGTTCAGAAGGGGAAACAGAGCGAGAACTTTTGCAGACATTACCAGAAACACGAACGTACAGTCTGCTCTGCAAACTGCATACGGCTCCGTGGATAACGTTGAAGCGTGGATTGGGCTTATGGCTGAGGATAAACCGCGAGTCAGTTCAATGGGTCCGACTATGCTTGCAATTTGGGTGCGCGAGTTCATTAGGATCCGAGATGGAGACAGCTTCTATTATGAGAACATGAGCCAGTATGATCCTGAGGTGCTTGCCAATGTGCCCAGGCTCCGTGCCATCTTCAATGGGCAGGACACGATGCGAGCTCTTCTTCTTCGTCATACTGGTATCACGAATGGCGAGCTTCCCTCTAGAACGTTCTTCGCTAACTAGGCATGCCTTGCAACAACTTAACCTGTTGTATATCGAAGTAGTTCCTGCATAAAGAATCGTTTTGGGATATGTTTGGAAATCTTTTAATGAATTGATACTGTTCCTGACATTTAGCAGTTTCTGCATGCCCAATCTCATCAAGTACATGTTTTCTTGTAAGTACTAGAGCAGCAGGGAAGGATACACATGCAGTCTTTGCCCTCATAAGACGCTTGGTCGTTAGGAGTGACACTGCTATTGCTGAACCGAGCAAGCCCTCAGGAAAGTCCTACCCTCTGCTTTGGTGCCAGAATCTGAACAGGCTACTGACCTTGCACTGCATGAGATCCGTCGCAGATTGGGGCTACCCTATCGGCTTGAACTTGTGGCGAGAATAGAATAATTTTCGGTTGCTTTATACGCCCCTAACCAGGCTTCGGTACTTTGGCCCTATGGATCAAAGGATTCGAATGCTTTTCTGTAGAGCCATAACAAGTACGAGCAGCTAATCAATCCTGAAAGACGGAGAGTCGAGGGGCAGAGTAATTTCGGTATGATCAGACCCATAGTTGATGGCCCGTGTCTATCATGCTGCAGTATTGATTCCCTCAACCCATCAGAATTGAGCTTGACTACTTCACACAAGCTACAACGCACTGAAACCGCATCTGCACGTGCAATGCAGTGTAAAAGCGGTTCTTGTGCGGCAACTCTAACAAAATAAATGCACAACCTCAACAGAACTCTCCCTACAATGCGAACTGTACGTGAAGAGACAGGAAGACGACGCCACATGCCCTCACCCATAGTCGCGACGAAGGTGCTCGACTTCATTTTTTCGACACACAACAGTGCCATCTCCTGTCCCCAAAGCCTTACCGCCTTGCGCTCTCCTCCCCCGCGCCACCCGGCATGATGGTTTTCTTCAGCCCAAATCGACGTCTGCAGCCGGCGCGGCACTTCAAGCATCTCTCATTGCGATTGCACAAGTAGATGAGGCGCATGATCTTGTCTGTGTCGTCATCACCGTCCCCATCACTATCGTGACCGACCACATGCCTTATCATGGTACCCTTGACTCCAAATCTCTTCCCACACAGTGTCGTGCAGCTTGTGCACTTCAAGAAACGCGACTTTGACGTTAGCTTGCTGCATGCGAACACAACCTTCGTGGGCATGGAGTCATCGCTTCCCTCGTGACGGGCAGTCACTTGCATGTCGGTTTCAGTGGCAGTCGCAATAGCCTGCACGGTTACAGAAAGGGCGAATAGCGCCACGGCACTGGTGATGAAGAGGCGAGCCATTGAAGAGGAAGGTATGAGAGTCGTTCAGAGATCGGATGAAGGGAGAACTGAGCACGGTGAGGGAAAGGGGCTTGGTCTGGGCATGGTATTGCTTATGTAGGCACAGGTCAAGTTTCTGGGTCCCGGTTGGCGGGGATGAAAGGTCGTTGTCCGTTGACTGATTGTTAACAAAGAGAGTGGACACCCTCTGGATGGTGGTTAACGTTTACAGTAAGAGATTTTGATTTCACACTTCAAATTGGTCGATACGAAGAGCAAACTGGCCCCCTTACAAAGGAAGCATGTTTGGATCATTCCCGGAAGCCATTCTCCTAACGCCAAACAGAAGGAATAGCATGGATATACGGTTTCCTTCCACCATTCTTACGGCAAAGAAGCTGAGACAGGCAGTCGCGTTGTAGACCAGTGTGATTTACATTTGGGACATACCACGGCATGATCAGAAAATTGGGTTGGACAGTGAGGATGATGAGGATGATGAGGATGATGATAAGGATAGTGGAATGAAGCGAAGTATCTCGTGGCACCCAAGGATATTTATGTAACGTTGTGATATGTCTGTAAACGTCGCCGTTGTGGCATTACATAACGCAAAATGGAGGTGCTTCACAATGTGCCATAAGGCCTTCTATCCACACTCGGGCATGCTAAGGTACAGTAGCTTGAAGAGTTATCATGCCACTGCCCCCCATTCGTGAATTCCAGGACGAAGATTTACGAAGGCACTCTCCAATCCAATACGCATGTCATACCTATGTCCCAGAATGGGGGTAGATGCATGTAGGCGGGGAAGGTGCTGATTTCAAGTTTTCAGGCTACAATTAAACCCCCTGAACTGTATCCAGACATACTGTAGGTACTGAGAAGCTGTGGCGCTATTTGAAGTCCGCGGAACTGTAGATTCCGCGATGTTTTATTTGATGACGAGAATGTATATCACGGGCTGCAGCACAGTAGTGAAGGAAGGGTTTGTCATGAATGTGGTGCGTCTAAACTTCAGACTAATTTAGATTCAGTAATTCCATGACAAGACCCATTACATTCGCCCACCGCCACTTTTCAGACTGTTAGGAGTGGCGGTGGGCGAGTGTGATGGCAAGTGTGACTGTAACGTGTTGAATGCGCATGCAAGAACGTAGCACTTGCCTGTTGATGTTGTCTTCGGTAATGGACAAAATCTCTGTAAACTCTCTATCAATAGCTCTTGCTCGGGTGCCACGATGGGAGAAACAAGTATCGGGACGCAGTTGGAGGAAAACTGGATGGCACATATTACGACACGTAAGCTAGACAGTGACGGGTGTTAAACTGATGCTGTGGAGCATAATTTACGCTTATCACATTTGAAATGATTAAATTGCCATGAAACCTGTAAGCAATACAGTTCATTACTCTATCACAACTACGCTTTGCACCCTGTAATGAGTGGACTAAGCTTTAGCATCATTCCCTGACCATGCGTCAATCAGAAATGCCTGCCTTACAACTTGTTTGCTTCGCGTCTTCCACCGTCTTCTCCAGCTGTCGTCAGACTGTTATTCCACTCGCCATAGAATCGAATTCCATTCGAATGCTGGGTTCCCCACTGTACTTCTTAACCAACAGTTACAGCAAGTCACAAATGCGGTTCCCTTCGCCGCTCTCACACTAACATACTTTGCCACTGTCTCTGAAACTGCTCACGTGCGGCTACCAGCAAAATTTGTCCACATCATTCCCAGTGTGATGCTCATTGCGTCTGCGATGAGACACCACACGATAGTTTGCCACAATCTTCATGCTTCTGTAGAGATCTACTGTAGTACAAAGAGGGACGCACGGCTCTTGCAATCAACTGGATGATGAGCAATGATAAGTAGTACCCAAGGGTACTGCATCTGAGTGAAACCTATGCGCCAATATAGAGCACCGAAAGGCTGTCGCATCTTACAGATATGGCCCATATCGCAACTATCCTTCTTGTGCTTGCATATGGAATGAATTCATGTGAAAAACATGCCTCCTTAAAACAAGCGAAGGCGTCGTTTCACAAGAGAATATAAATTCACTGGGTACCTTTCGCGAGATGTGAGCACACATCTAGGCCACCAAGTTTTTCTTTTTTCAATTCTCGCACTTGCGTTGGATGAATGCATAACTTATGAGATGCCACAGTGTGTATTCGGTAGCATCTACCAGTAGGCCGGCCCTGCTGCAATATTGGAGCTAGAAATTTCATAAACATACCGTCATTAGCTTCCTCGGCTCCTTCGAACTGCACTCGATGGTCCTGTATTCGATGGTCAAAAGTAAACTTGAGAGCTTCAAAATGTGGAGCTCGCGTTCACGGAAAGAACCAAAAGGTACATTTTCTCGTTTATGATAACTTTAATGGGTAGAAACTTAGTTGAAGCGTTGGTGCTGTCGTTGTTTCGCTGCCACGCGTTTCAGCGATGCTTCACGTATCATAAAAAGGACCCAAATTCCGTCATCAAAAGGCGTGAGGGTGAAACCTGCCTTGCAGTGCTTACGAAGTGCCGTGCGTGCGAGCTCTAGTGCACGCCTGGAGCTACCTGAGCGAAGAAAGCTCACGTTGTGGCGAAGCCTGCGTAGGGCGGATGGATGCGCCTTGCGAGGTATTTGCGGGGGTGTCTGTTAAGGGGCCATCGGAATTGCATGGTGGACCTTGGCGAGAAATGCGTAAGATACTATTTTGGGCCTCTGAATTACTGATGCACGTGGGGATCGGACGCAATATGTAGACGTGCAACACTGGAACAAGCAGACGGCGAAGGTGAAGCGAGGGACTGTTATCGAGCTGCAGTCTTATGCAAGCAGGCGGCTGTGGAAGAGGATCATGCGATGACGACGGTCAGGCTCGCGGCACTATTCGCAACTGGTTCGTGTCCTCGGAAGAAGACGGTCTGACGCTACGCAGTGGAATACCCCGTAAGATTCTATATGTACGCAGTCTGAGGCATAACCGACCATGGATGTCGAAAACGTTTGTTGCATCATTCGTCATATTTTCACAGTTCGAGCGATGTATCACCATCAGTTTTGAAAACGCGCACACCAACACATCTGTGATAAGGAACAAAGCGATTACAAAGACAACTCCTACCGCTTGCCCTCGCTCAAAAAAAGGCTGCACCTTTGATCGCTCTGTACAAACATAAATATATTGGAAGAGTTTAGAGTAGTTCGCAATAAATAATGCCACCAAAGGCATGAAGACGGGCACATTCACGATACAGGGACAACGCTCTGTGTGTTTTCAAGAAGCGTGATCATGCCCCGTAGAAAGTGACTGCCTTTCGCCAAAGTTTTGGAGCAACCCACGAGAATTAGTTTCTGCTTCGCCCGCGTGAGCGCAACGTTAACTCGTCGCCAATCTTTAAGCAACGGACCAACAGAACCAGAGCATCGCACAAAAGATACGATCACGCAATCGCTGTCTCTTCCCTGGTATTGGTCAATAGTGTACACATTCGTATCCAACATGCCCTTGTCGCTCGCCGTCCGCCTCTCTTGCAGCAGGCCATGAATTAGGCTCACTTGAGCACGAAAAGGAGATAAAACTGTGATGTCTTCAGGCTTCACATTTCCCTGCTCCAGCGCTGAAACACATTTACATACCACGCCTGCTTCTCGCAAATTGTTTCTTCGTGAGGCTTCAAGTTTCTCGAGTTTTTCTGGATTCTTGGTAGGCTCCTTGTCTTCGGTGCAGTCCTCTGGCATGTCAAGGAAGATAACAGCCCTGGATTGATCCAGAATGGCTTGCAGCCACGAGGCCTTCCCTTCCATGGCTGCAAGGGAAGTCACAAGACGTTGGTTGGCAATCTCCTCTGACCCGCAGGAAAGACTTCCACTGTACACCAGTTCATTGCTCAGCCTCATGATTTCCGATGACATGCGATACTGTTGCGATAGACTGATCATCGCCTCTGGATGAAATTCACAGAGCCTTCGAAATAGAGACTCATTCCTTTGATTTTCTGGGTTTAATCTGATGGCTGGGGTACCATTACAGGCTTGGCTGGCGTCCATGGCATTCCTTACCACCACAATACTTTCGTTCGCTTGCTGCGCTCTCAAAAGTGGAGGCAGTTGGTAGTGATCTCCGACCAAGATGAAGGGACCGGCAGCGAATTGCAATGGCCCGAGACATATGGGCTGCAACACCTGCGATGCCTCATCCACAACAACAAGATCAAAGCGTCCTCTGCGAAGAAGGAGAGGATGATTAATGCCCAAACAAGTTGTCGCTACAACCTTAGGCTGTTCAAGTACAGTCTCGAGGTGTTTTGTCGTTGACGCATCGGCCGTCAGCGTGGAAATGTGGTATGGATGGATCGCTTTGCTAATTACCCTCTTATTCCTTCCAAGGCGAACAAAGTCTCGGAATCCAGCCGCCAATAATCTTTGAAGAAGATTATCAACGGCTGAGTTTGTGTGAGAACAAAGGAGGACCGACTTTCCTTGTGAAGCATATGCGAGAACAATTGCAGCCAAAGTTGTTGTCTTCCCAGTTCCAGGCATCCCGAGAACGAGTAGATAGTCTCTTGTTCGCAAGGCCATCTGCAAAGCTCGATCCTGATCATCGTTGAGAGTCACATTGAATTCCTTCTTTAAAACAGTTGTCGACTGGCTTCCAATGATAAACTCAGTCAATCTGGGACGGGTGCCATCCACTACTAGGCCTCTCAGGCGTCCTAAATCAGTTGTCTCATCACAGCAGAAGAGATTCTCTAAGGTCCTCTTCGCAGTGTTATGAGACGAATGTATTTCTACACTGTCGATGCGCCATATAATATCGTTAACATTGACTGCCTGGTTGCGAGCCCATGCGAACAAGCTTCGATCGATAACAACAGCCACTGACGAAGGAGAGGTAGACTGAATGAATCCATTTGTAAGCGCGCTTTGCCATGTAAATATGGACTGCTGAGAGCTTCCAGCGGATGTGTTCAACGATTCTGCTGATACAAGGACAAAATCATTTTCGGCAAGCGCAGCGTCGTTCAGAGGGGCCTGTAACGCATCGCCATGATGCCTTTGGAATGTTACAGTCATTCGCTGCCCTGGGGGTAGGAGATAATTGACTCGGCCGTCCTGGCTCCCGGCGGAATCCTCCACCATACGAAGATTTGACAGGCACCTTCCAAGGGCCTCTCTCTGCGAGCCGCGCATGTTCCACACTTCATTTTGTGGCCTTGCAGCATGTGCTTCCTCATCCGCTAGAACACGTCTCCAAAACATATAATACGCAGCATGTTCGTCAGTCAGGTGCATGGCCTTTTCCCGAAAAAGACCTGGTCCCGGTCCGCCTTTGACAGTCTCGCTACTTCCGTTCTCCAGAAGCTTGTGCTGAATCATACAAGTGTCGTTCGCAAAGCATTTCGCGCAAAGATCTTCCCGACCCTGCAGCAAGGGTGGCAGTCTCCTGAAATCCGAATCAAACCTCGCGTATGACGCAAATTCGTTACGCTGCATGAGAAGCCCGACAACTTCACCTCTGACGTACGACACGGCTTTGTTATTTGGGTGCCTCGTGAAGTTGCCTTTGGTCTCAATGAGCGAGATTTCGCTGTTTCCCTCATCCCCGGCCTGTGCTTGCTTGACAGCCTTCAAGGCCTCTTGATATCGAATATAGCTTAATAATCCAAGCGATACATGCTTGCTATAGCGATCAGACATGAGCAAATTATACAAATTCACTTGTGCCGAGTGCGATACAGATGCATAGCCAACTGATGAGCCGGTCTTCAATTCCACGACGCCAATGCCACCAGCCTCGTCGTTGCTACACAGGATGACGGAAGCGTCGATCTTGCCCTTAAGTCCGAATATTGGGCTCCAGACGAGCTCTTCTATATCATAAACGTCGCCGATACCCATACTGTACGTCTGTTTCCCGCCCGTGACCTTAACGCCTGCAGAATTCTCGCCACCATCAAGCCTCGCAAACCCTTTGAACCATTCCATGATGGACGGGATCACGTTATGCAGCACGAGCCTCGCATCAGCATCTGAAATTTTAGCGGCATAAAGATCTTCCAAATGCTGCTGCAGAATGATCTCCACGGACTCGTACACATCTAGCGCATCTAAAGTGCGCTCTCCTACATGCCCCGGCGCAGGCTTATGGGCATAAACAATCGCCAAAAGATTCTGAAACAAATCATGAATCATAGAACCGAAAAGCGCGGCTTCGCCCCCTGTGGATTGGAGAATGCTGCGCGGCGGGACGCGAGCCGTGAGCAGCGACTTACGGAGGCACAGGAACGAGTCGGCGATGGAGGTGCCGGACACTAGGGTGTCCGGGTGGTGAACGAAGAGGTGGTTGTCGCGAGTTACGAAGACGGGGTGCTGCTCGTCGACGGGGGCGCTGTCCCAGGGAAGATAGGAGCCGTCTGGGCGTGTAAGGAGGACGCGAACGATATCGTTCTGGTTAACGTTGGAGTGCATCCATTCATCGCACAGGGCGACGGATAACTGCTTGCCCGTAATCGTGTCCACCGTGCGCAGGACTTTGGAGTCGGGATGCGGGACAGCCTCGAGCACGAGGAGCCGGGCGGAGCTCGCGCGCGCTGGGCCCACGGGCAGAGGGTTGGGTGCAACGGCGCTCATTGTGGAGGGGTGATATGCATGGGAGAGGTCAGGTTGGCATGGTGTGGGAGGGTTGTCAGCGTCAGCTCTTCGCCGTCGGGCAACGAAGATGATGTGGTCGGAGGTACAGAGCTGAGTTCTGAGTTGACGCGCATGACGCAAGGGAAGGGAAGGGGGCAACAAAGGGGCTACTGCCCTTTGAGGGGCACAGCTGTTCCGTTTTCCCACGAAAACAAAGCAGGTACCTATCGTATCACACGTGTCGTATTTCGGGTGTACTGTACGACTGTAGTTGTCCTGCAGACACCTGATCACAGTATTTAACCTGGGCCAGGTTAATTTTGAAGCTCATATTTCCAGATGCACTCATCAAATAATGTGGACCATGTTAATTTTGAATCCAGGCTAATTCCTGTGGAATTCCAAAATAATCTGGACAATTTTATTTTTTGGTGATATATTTAACCTGGACGCAGTCATCATACGCATTGCCACGACTCTTCATTCGATTGGAGCACCATCAAAATTATTGCGATGTTCCGCAATAAAACTCCCTAATGGCCTGTAGCTCATGGGACACCTGCTTTTCCTCCCACAAACCGTTTTAATTGAGGGCCAAACCGGTTCGAATCATCCGTAATACTGTGTTAGCCGGCAATATGATAGGCGGAGGAGGAGGGCTGGTCACAACAATTAATCTGGACCAGATTAATTTTGAATCCATACTATTTTGTGTGTCTAGGTTAAATACTGTGATCAGTATGCTTTATTTATAATTTAAGTGACGCTTCCGGATGGGAAATGTGGAGACTGGTTTTATTGTGGCGTACAGTATTGAGTCCGAGCCCGTTGCATTCTTACTCCCTCATAGAGCTATGGTACGGTATTCACCTAATCGTACTAGGGATATTCACGATCTATAAACGTGGTTGCATGGAATACAATCGTAGAGAAGTGATGTGGTACATATCTAAAGAGCTGTATTCCGTCGAAGGGCAGTCACCAGTAGAAGGACATCCAGAGCTACAACTCTGTTTGCAGTCGCGTTTCATTAAGGCTCCGAGGTTCTCGCGAATAAAGAGTACAAAATATTGGTGGATATAAAGAAGTGAATTCAAGTTTCGAATTACTCCTTCTACTATCTCTGGTGTCTATCCGACCCAGCGTTATCAGAACATAAAAATCCGCGAATTTTATTTCTTTTTAACCTTGATGCCCATGGTTTCTATTCTTCTTTGGTAGATAACTGGTTCAAAAACTTTTCTGAGGTTACAACCGAATAAGAAGCACTCAAGCCCATGTTTTTTTGCTACTGGTATAAAATTGGCTTAAAGAAAATTGCTTACTCTAAGCCAACATCTTCGTTTGTACACCTTTACACGCATCAACAAGTTGGTTTTCGCTAGAATCGACAAGCAATTTCTTTACCTGCGTTGATGGCCTTCTGGTTTCAAAAAACAGAGTGAAATCGGGAGTTGGGTTGTCTACAAAAAATAAAATAAGTTTTGTCCTCATATGATGACTAACGGTCTAATAGACACTAGCTTCCATGCGCAGAAACCCATCCCTTTTCAAATTAAATTTTGGGCCTTCAAATCATGATGCATCATCTCGGGCCAAAACAAATAGAAACGTTCTCCAGCGATACTTGTAAAGCGAACCTCGGTTTTTTTTTGTTTTGTTTTGTAGGGATGGAAAAATTGACCCTGTAGATTTGAATGACATGAGAGGGCCTCAGTTCTTTCACACACGACCTGACGACAGGGCACGTAAACCTTTTCTGCAATCTCTAGGTCATCGACATATCATGAATGGGCAAAAACCTACCTAGATCTGCATATTGAGATCTTGGCCAACAAAACTCCTAAGAAAATCAATTGCAGGGAAGGAAACGGGCAACCCATCTGGACACCATGCTATTTTACTTGTATATTCTGTGTGAACGCTATCCATGGGATCCTGTTCACTCGGGTCAGTCAAATGTATGGTAGTAAATGTTTCAATCCAGCATCGTACCACCTTTACCTTGTTATCGGATAACTTCAAAGCCATGGCTACGATGATGCTGGGATTGCTTCTCCTTTTTCTCGCATTCTGCGCGTTTCAACCTGCCTTGTCCGCAGCCACTTTCCGGCCACACCAGGTACTGTCCACTTTCCGAGAAAGAAGCCCATCTTTCAACCGGCAGAGCATCGCAAAATGTTCTCGGATGGACTACTTTCCTGCTGCTTCATGCTTTTGCTACGCAGTACTCTCTAAAACGATCGTAGTCCAGGATGCGGCTCAAGTCAAGCAAACATGCGAAAAGTTCTTCCTAATGTCCCCGGACGAAATGCTAGGCATGTTGCAGTTTTCGTGTGGAAGCTACACCGAGGAAGAGGATAAGCTCCAAGCGACGAGAGTTGTGGACGACACAAACGAGATCGCAGTGAAATGCTTCTCTGGCGGACCACACAGGAGAATTGTGCTGCTTGGTTGTGCAGAACAAACGGAATTTGAGGAAGATGGAAGCATAGGGGAGGCAATGGCTTCCGCTGAAGCTTCTCCGGAAGTTTCATTTGAACACTGGAAATTTTCCAACACGGACTCTGCATTTATCCAAATGAGCGAAAGTGTGAGCAGACTTCCGTCTGCAGTAACATGTTCTTTTCTGTAGATATGCTGTAAAACATGAGAAATCTCAGCTCTGTGGAGGGGAGAGGAAATTGGCACAAGCATCCAATGTCCAGAATCAGTCTGTTCTTTCTGCAAAAGTTATTCAAATTCCTAGCAGGACAAGAAAATGAAGAGGAGACAAAGAGAAAAATGGCAGTACTCTGCTTCGAGCCTAATTCTCAGCTTTATCAAAATCCTGTAGTAATTAGTGAAAAGTTCAGCCGGACTTTCTCCTTCAATTTTCTATCACCTGAAATAGTGCCACATAAGGAGCATGCCCTCGTGTCTTTGTTCTTCGAAGAAATGCAACTAAGGACACTACTTAACGCTTGCTGGCCTACTCAACGCAGTTTTAAGCAATAAGGGCTCTGCAAAAACCATACTCATAGAAATATAGTATTGTACTTGCGGTGGAACAAAACGAATGATTGCTTCCTCCTGGATTCTAGGAATTCGAGAAAGAATGTAATTTATGGTGACCGGAAGTTAAGATTAGAGCGTCTCCCTTTCGTAGTCCTTGTGCGAAGCAGGTGAAAATTTTGAGTCTCCTGTGGGCCACATTTCGAAACGAAAACGCGGGGTCCCTTCTACAGTATGGTCATTGCCCATGCCCCCATTGGGCAAGGCTAAGCGAAAATGGAGCCCCTGGCGATGAATCCTTTCAAGCTGCATGGAATTTTGTGCAGCTGAACACCAAGCAAAGCGTGCGTCTCCCGCAACAGGATTGCAGTTTTGACCGCTTCAGCATCTCATATGACAAGCTCAAGCTTTCTTGACATTCAGTACATGTCCACGCGCCTTCTCGAGGACGTTTTCTCAGCCGGTAAGTAGCAGCATTGCTTTGGCTCGAAACTGCACCTATGAATACCAGTAGAGCAGCCTGGGTGCCACAAGCAGAACTGATTTTTCATGAAACCGATGCAAGTGATAACTATTTATTACTTACTTTGCGGTAAGTGACAGAGTCAGGGTTTGAACCGTGTCAAACTGTGACGCCTGACTTATCGGATATTTTCCACATCGCAATCAGAAAGCACGGGTTCAGGTCGATTTAGGAGCCAAAATAAGTCCGTCGCCATGGATGAAATTGCAGAACGTGATGCAGTTATTTCGGCTGCAAATGTCTTGATGGTGGCGCTGCTGAAGATGAATCGAGTCATTATTCCAGCTTTTCTGAAATGGAGGAGAGCGGCTCGTCTCCGAGGTATTCAAAAAGCCGACAGGGATATCCAGAGAATGGCAGCAGGGGACAAAAAGATGCAAGCCATGAATCTACGACAAAACACGATGACAGAAAATCAAAGAGCCGGGTACCAGACTGGTGGAAGCACCATCAGTAAAGAAGACTCGCAACTCGCACATAATCTGAATACGCAAAGGGGTGCGCAGATGCCAAGAAGTGGTGCAGACGATGAACACATCGCCCCTAAAACATCTTCTGGTGGGGCCGGTGAAAGCGATACCAGTCGTAGTGACGAAATCCAACCGGTGAACATTCGCAGCGAGCAAGGCATGGTAGAAAGAAGCGCTGCGAATGAGAATGAATATCATACTCGACATGTTGAGTCACTTCAGCAGCAAAGAGCTGAGGAGGTCCATTTATTTGTGTACACTTCCTTCGTGACTATCGTAATCACCATTGTGAGTATTGTTGTCTATGGTGGGATCATAATCGCTCTGGTTCTTGGCCTCTTTCCTTTCCGGCGAGGGCAGTCGATTATTTTTTCATTCTCTCTCGTTGCGACGGCATTAATATCAGAGTCGGAAGTCTTATTACAAAGAAAAAAGAAAGGGGAGAAGGATCCAAACGACTTGAGCAGGAATAGATACAAAACGAATGCGGAGATGACTAAAACATCAACAACCGAACGCTCAAGTAGATCAAGAGAGGTCAAACGAGAAGACATGGAAGATTTCAGTGATCTCGATGTGTAGCAGATATGAATTATCTCAGATCCTATACTTTTTCTTTTTAAAGAAGTGAAGGCTTTCTGCAGCTTGGAAAATGTAAAACAGAGGAAAAAAGTGACAACGATCTTGAAACCTTCGGTCAAATTGAATGAAAAAAAAAATGAAAATGAATCCAGGCTTTCTGCTGTGACAGCTTCCAAAAAAATATAATTTATATAAATGTGGAAAATAAAGTCGGATACTGTAATCGGAAAGGAAATTCTTTGAATTACAGTACAATTGTCAACCGAGAAGTGCCGTTACGTGAGGTCATTTGACATCTTACTGCATGAGGTCAGATGAGGTCAGGCGCCACTGGGTAACGCCATACCACGTGTTTCATGTCCGCCGCATCCCATGTTTAAGCGTTTAGCAAGCAGCCCACACCATGTGCCGCCCTGATTGTGCACCACCGAATGGAACATTCCTCCCACAACGTCCACAACGGACGTCCTCTGCCAAACTTGATGCATCACGCATCCTGAAGCTAACGAGACCTACCCCTGCGGAAAAGCGCGTACCCCCCACGCTCAAGGTACTATGCTAACCCTAGAAGAATGTGAGGAGGTATGCATGGGAATGGGAACACTTTCGGTGCGCGATGCCGTCGTCTCCGCCGCAAATGTGCTCATGGTCGCGCTTCTGAAAATGAATCGGCTCTTCGTCCCCGCGTTTCTGCGATGGAGGCGCGCTGTGCGGTGGCGACAGATCCAAAATGCCCGACAGGACCTCGAGAGGGAGAAGGAAAAGGAGCGAAGGGCTTTGGCGAGGGAGGAGATACAGATGCACCGTGCGAAGAATGGAGTGGGCATTCTCGAGAGGATCTCACGCGTGGTGGGTACGGGCACGAAGGAACCGTACACAACGCAGGAACCGTTGCTGCCGAGCAATGGTACGCATGAGCCACACTTGCCGCTGCGAAACAGCGCCGGCGGAATTGGATCTGGCACTCCAGCCCAGTCGCGGCCATCACGACCAGCACAGCGGCAGGAGCGCCGCGCTCGACGTCAATCTCGTGATGATAGGGCTGAAGGCAGCGCAAGCGGCGAACCTGCTCACGCTGACGCTGGAAATGAGGACGAGGAAGGGTTGGACGAAATTCAGGCTGCAGCAGAATCCTTTTTCTCACGAGGCAGCTCATCACGCAGCGCATCACGCAGCTCATCAGCTCAACAGGGTGATTCCGAAGGAGGCAATACAATCGACGTCTTCGAGAGACGCGTACAACAGCTCCAACTGGAACGGGCGCAGGACGTGTACATGGGAGTGTACACGTCTGTGGGGACTACTTTTGTGACGTTCGCCAGTATCGTTATCTACAGCACGGTGATAATATCGCTTGTTCTTGCCCTGTTCCCTTTTGAGAGAGGGCAGGCTGTGATCTTCTCATTCTCGCTAGTTGCAACAGCTCTGGTGTCAGAGTCTGAAGTTCTTCGAAAAGGAAAGACTGAAGAAGAGAAGAAGAAGGAAAAGGAATCAAAAATGAAGGACCTGAAAAACTTTCGATACAAATCTAAGGCCCCGAAAGGCGGTGCGAATAATCTGGAGGCTATGGAAAATGCCGATCACGAAGCGGATGACGTAGAAGACTTTAGCGATCTTGATTGATTCAAGTGGCTGGAAGTAACACCATGTCCATTCGTTACGTGTGGCGACTGCATGTAGTGTGGAACTATGATCATTTATCGCCCTGACGGAGGAGAAACTGGGAACGTTGGACCGACAATGCCACCATAGTGTGCCATCGATTCTAGAAGCGCTGTTTATTTCTATCTCGTTTGCAACCTGGTCATTCGTAGCAGGAACCACGTTGAGTGCCTCTCATGATTACTACTACAAGAAAACCGCGCTGGGCGCGACAACAGCATGCGCACCAAAATCTCGTGTCTTGTGGGTTGTGTCCCGCTCTCATATCTCAACGTGCAACTGCAGCGATTCCATACGGAGAGCCGTTGACCTTGCCGCCATCAAATATATTTGCACGATTTGGAAGACAAGGAGGCGGAGACACTACGGTCCACGAATGGGTGCTGCAAAAAATATGAGCGTGTCTGAATTTCGTCTCCTTCACTCAAGATCGCTAAAGCTGTCACCGTCGGCTTGAAATGCAGGCATGGCGCCATATCGCTGATTGTTCGCATTGGCGAGCAATCCGTTTTCTTCATCGTGAACACCCGGGGCAGCGCCACTTAATGGGCGAGACTGTTGAGTGCGAGTCTTTCCTTTTTGCAAGAGCGTTTCGGCTTCTGAAATGGTGGCGGTGGCGATTAATGAGAACGAGAAGATGATTCCCTCTGCAGGGCCGAAAGGAAAGAGAGACAAAACAAGGGTGATGATGATCGCGGAATAGAGAAAAATTGTGAGTATGGTGAAGAAGACAGTGGCGAAGGAAGTGTAGACGAGCAAGTTCGGGGCAGCTCCACGACGAAATTTTTCTCTGTCCACGTTGTGAATGTGCTTGTCTTCGTCATGCTCGCTGACGTCATCGTCAGACGAGTTAGGGCCAGGCTTAGTCATCAATTTCCTTGTCCTCCTGGGACGGCGCATGTCATCATCTGCTGCGTCTATCCATGCGGCACGACTGGCGCGCTTCCATTTGAGAAGTGCGGGTATTAAAACGCGGTTCATTTTGAGCAACGCGACCATGAGGACGTTTGCAGCGGAGATGATTGCATCGCGGTTGAGCTGCACGCTCTCAGTTGCGGGCACTGTCACATCCATATCTGAGAAGGAGTTGATGGGATCGTTCGCTTGTGAGGGAAGGGAAGCGTCAGAAGTGGTGCACGATTGCTTCCAAGAAGGTTGTGAAGTACAGAGCAGTTGCTTCCAAGAAGGTTGTGAAGTACAGAGCAGGTAAAAACGAGGATTGGACGTCCATGCTGATGGTGGGCGGCGAAACGAATCAGTTTCTGTCTGCCGCTTGCCGCTTGCCGCTTGCATCCAAGATCATGAGGTACTACAGTGAACCCTCTCGATATGGATACGCTCCGTGGACGTAATCCGTATCCATTTGCGGAGGTTATTCACATCCGGAGACCGTATCATAACGGTGTCACGGTGACCTGCATCTCTCAGAATGTCTGTGCTTTGCTTAAAAAATGTATTTATCGTCGTCTGGACTGTGCAATTCCCCTTCTTGGTACGCAGAGATATCGGGACGAAAACCATACTTTCCGTTGATGATGCGGGACATAACAGCTTGAGCAGGAGGTTTGGAAAGGGAAAACTGTACTGAGGCCCACTTCGCTAGGGCGCTTTGTGACGTCTGCTCCTTGCTCTTTTTGCGCCGTTGGAACTCTGCACATATTTATTGCTTTTGGGCGAGGTTAAGCTCAGAGCGCTTGATCGACGATTGTCGCTTGACGGGGGCAGATGGCTACGGTGCTGACAAGTACGGTATGTCGGTTCTCGGAGTCAAGCGGTTATGTTTTCGTTTGCTTCCCTGCTCTCTTCTGGGCAGCCAAGCCGCTGTTTCGCAATGTTCTCGGGGCCTCCCGGGGTCCCACTTGGTTGCACACCATGACAATGCGCTTCGAAATTTCCCTTCCTAAATCAAGAATTACGTATTTGAGCTGGTGACTCTATCATGCAGGGTATTTCTTTCTCTCACCGTCAATACTGTAAGTGATGCTGTAAGTGATTCATCAATTATTGAAGTGTGAGGGAAAGGGTTACAGTACGGGGCCACAGTACGGTGACAAAAATTGGTGGGCAAAAATTTAGACTTGAAATTTGACGTCTTTTACCAAATATTTCGAAATCGTCGAACTCGCCTTGGTACAGTCCCAGATCACTGGTGGGCCGGTCGGATAGATCCATCCGACCGGCCCTTGTCCTCATACAGTGTACTAGAGGACAGCCCTTTTTTGCAAAATATAGATAAAAAGCTTCCTTAGACACTATTTCCTTAACGCACTTGTTTTCGCAAATAACATCTTGCAGAACACCGGAATAGCAGCTTTGAATACGCAGCAAGGTTCAGACTGTAATGCAGATTGAGGACATAATTCCCTTTTTAAACGACGTTTTTGGTTTCAAAGTTATTTTACATGCGGTTTTATGGTGGTTTAAAAAAGCATCTTTTCCAGACACATCTAAAAACGCCCATGAAGAACATGCAATTCTCATAAAATTCTTTATGGTCCCAAGTCAGAAGTCAAGTACGGTTGCGGGGGAATCCGTTTCTTTCTTTTTGAGGAAGCGGAAGTCCAGAATAAAATAAGTCGAATACTGCCCTCATATGAGCATAAATGTCCTCATCTGAGGACAATGGGCGACTCCAAAAAACATAAATTTTGTACACACAAATTGTAACGGTTGAAGGACAAGCACTCTTTCAAATTTTACTTTGTTTAAACATACTGTGCTTGTCCTTCCCGAATGGACTGACTCCTCCATTCTTTAAAAGGATGGCATGGAACTACTCTATAATTTCTATACCATACCTAAAAGACTTGTCGAAGGAGGAGTACAGTATCCAGTAGTAATAAAGAGGATGGTCGGGGAGACTGAAAGCGAAGGACGCAAGCGATTGTATGGAGACAAGTAATAGAATGAATGCATAGTTTATTGTAGTCTAGCATGTACTGTATTGTTCTAAGGTTCAGATACGATTTTTACAAAAGACGCGGAGTTCGGACGGAGAAAGCAAAAGGGGGCAGGCACAACCACTCACTAACGATGAGAGCCACCCAACCTGAAACCCCAATTGTGTCCAACTTAAGACCCGCTTTGCAAAACCCATTCAACACAAGTAAGTCACTCTGTCCATTTTATTAACCGTTTACACATCTAAAAGTGGTAGCATCGCCAAATCGGTCCAACCTTTATTTTAGCAAAATTTTCGCAGTGTGCGAAATTCAACACCAAAAGCACATATTCCAAACGTGGCATCAGCAGCACCAATAGCGAGCCGGAGCCCATTATCGTCGAAAAACAAGGCGAAGTTCAGCCTCAGAGCCAATCTACCCCGGCTAACAAGAGTGTTCAACCGCTGCCGGCTGAAAAAGAGTTACGTTTTAATATTGCTCTGGAAATGGTTGAAGTCGACCGTGTGGCTGCCTTCGAGCTACCTTCGGCTAACCAAGGACGCACTGGAGAGAAGTGCCCCACCTGTCAACTTAACAAGCCGTACAACCAATCGTGGCCGGAGCACAACCGGTCTGAGTCCCATGTAAGGCACCTCATTTTAAGCCGTGGATTAGGCCGTGCTGTGGAAACCCTTAATTGCGAGCACTTTAATATCCTTACAATAAAGTGCGATTTATGTCATACGAACTACAGGAACGCTTTATTGTTCAACGCGCGTAAGGTTGAAGACGAGCACCGCCGCCGTGTTAAGGACCTACACCTAATAGTACACTTGGCATCGAGCAAGGGCGTGATTGGACGTTGGACGAAGGTTACCAAACCGAGGAAAACGAACCCCGGTGTTCTATCGAAGACCTTGGGGGACTTCAAGAAATACTCCAAACGTTCAATTTAGAAGTATCGACTACAGTAGAAATTGTGCATTAAAAATTGCCTTGTTTGAAAATTTCAAAATTGTTTACTGTACACTATGGCGCCAGATTCAATAATCCGAATGCAAAATGAGATCAGCTCTCTTCGCCAGCAAGTAGCTCAAGCTATTCAGTCATTACAGGAGTAAATAGCTCATGCGAATCAAGCTGTTGCCATCGCCACCCAATCTATTTGTAACGTAAATACCACGAACAGCAATAGCAATTGCCTTTTGTTAAAAACTGGCAAACCTGAAAAGTTCATTGGAGAAAGTGCCCGAAGCTGGTTGAAAAATATAGCAAATATTTCTGCAGCGTACAGCAATACAATCGACGACAATACAAAAACCAACTATGCCGTAATCTGTATGACGGGTGCGGGACTGCAATGGTGGGAGATAGCAAACCTAAGTGACAATGCTATAAAATCATATGATGAGTTTCAAAAAGAACTATTAAACTATTTTGAACCTGTGAACAGAGAGGTGACCGCAAGAAAAATGTTGAGTGATCTAAAACAAATGGGCGAGTTAACCCTAGTCCGGGAATATAATGGAGAGTTCTCACGATTGCTCTTGCGGATCCCAGGTATAACATCTGCCGAACAGATATTCTACTACAGCCAGGGGCTTAAGACCCGTGCGAGAATCGAGGTCGAGCGGGTGGAACCACAATCATTACAAGACGCTATGAAAATTGCCGGTAGACTTGATAGTCTTTTCAATAGTGGTCAAACTACTTTGGATTCGCAAGATCAACGCCTAGTTTCTCCTCTGCGCCTACACCAATGCAAATTGGGAACATGCAACCGCGCAGAAGTACGAAACTGTCCCCAGCAGAAAAATCGCGAAGAATTGAGCATAGGTTATGCTTCGTCTGTGGTAAACGAAACGGCATAGCCAGAAATCACTACAACAACCAGAGGCCTAGACCTGACGCGTTTACCCAAAAGAAAAACTAGTTGATCGGTTAAATGAAGTCGGCACATTAGCGGATAAATGTACTATAGCCGAAGACAAACTACAAAAACACAAAAAATGATAAAAGACAAAAAGACAAAAACAAGCAGTGTTCAAAAGAGAACAACGGTAAAGAGTCCGTCAAAGTATGTGCATTCTCACCATGCAAGAAGAGAAGAAATACAAAGAGGCAAGCTCTACTAGTATTCAACGGGGAGGTGCAAGATGCAGCCGACAATTCCCGTTGCACTATTCTGGTAGACAGTGGGTGCGAAGAAATACTAATACTAATATCAAAAGATATGCAGAGAAATTGAAGTTGAGAAAGGAGAATACTAACCTGAGTGCATAACTATGGGACCGAACACTTTTTCCTATGGAACGGTGTTGCGAGAACCTTATCATACGGATTGGGGACGCTACCATTACCGTACGGCCATACGTGGTGGACTGTATTGCTTACGTCTTAATCCTAGGCAAGCCGTGGTTATCCGAAGCCAACCCTCTAATAGTTTGGAAATGAACCGTATACTCCTTAAACAGGAGGAAGGGTTAATAAGTCTGGACGCAGAGGCTCATAAGCATGGGGAAGCCCGCCAGACATACATGCTTGCGAGTAAATAGTTCGTGAGGTTAGCGAAAAAGCAGAAAAGCACCATATATCATGTCGTATTGAAACCTTTTCAAGAGGAAGGAGAAAATACAATAGAGACTAGTGAAAAGGACGACTACATGAAACAGTTAGACAGACTCCTGGGAGAATACAAATGCGTATTCCCACAAGATCTGCCTAAAGGATTGCTCCTAAAAAGATCCGTTGAAATGATAATAGACTTAGAAAAGGAAGCAAGGCCCAAAATGGGTCCCATCTATAAACTTTCAAGAAAAGAGCTTGAAGAAATGAAGAACCAACTAGAAGAAGCCCTTGAAAATGGATTCATACGCCTAAGTATAAAGTCCTTGGGGTAGCCTTGCCTTGTTCACTCCAAAGAAAGACGATGGCCTAAGAATGTGTATCGATTATCGAGCACTCAACAAACAGACTATTAAGAACCAAGTACCTTTACCGAGAATCGATGAAGTATGGGATCAGGTAGGAGGATCGAAATGCTTCTCCACCATTGATCTAAGATCTGGGTATCATCAAATAAGGTTGAGGGATGCTGATATTCAAAGGACGGCATTCCGGACTAGATATGGTCAATACGAGTACCTAGTAACGCCCTTTGGATTAACAGGGCCCCAGGATGCTTCCAAACCCTCATGAACAATATCTTCAGACCACACTTAGATAAGTTTGTCCTTGTCTACTTAGACGACATCCTTATCTACATTAAAACGAAAGAGGATCATCTGAACCATCTTAGGACAATACTGCAAATTTTGAAGGAGCATCAACTATACGGAAAGCTTTCAAAGTGTAAATTCCTTTCTCATAATCTTGAGTACCTGGGCCACATAATAAGTGAGAATGGTATTCAAGTGAACCCAAAGAAGATTGAAGCTGTTCAAACATGTGAAGCTCCTCTCAATGTAAAGCAAATTCAAAGCATTCTTGGTATTTGTAACTACTACCCGAGATTTGTAAAGGACTTCGCGACGATAGCAACTCCTTTATCTAATCTAACAAGAAAAGGTACACCTTTTCAGTGGGGGCCATCACAAAAAGGAGCATTTGAAGAACTGAAGAGCAAACTAATAGAGCCTCCCGTACTTCGATACGCAGACCCCAGTTTACCGTATGAAGTAGCTTCTGGCGCATCTCAAACAGGTGTTGGTGCTGTCTTGACGCAAACTGACGAAACTGGATGCCGTCCAGTTGCATACGCTTCACGGAAACTGAATATTGCAGAACAAGGATACAGTACACATGAAAGAGAACTTCTTGCTATTGCGTACTCTTTACAAACTTGGAGACCATACCTACACGGCTCAAAATTTAAGATACTGATTGACCATCATCCATTAAAATACTTGGATTCACAACGAACCTTACCTCGAAAACAAGCCCGATGGGATGAATTCATGCAAGAGTTTGACTACCACATTGATTACATCAAAGGAAAGCATAATACCGTAGCTGAGGCATTATCGAGGCAGTATCAGGAGTTGCATCAGAAATCGGCCAGTGTTGTGAAACAGTTGATTGTAGTGCAATACGCACCTGAAAAGGGGGGTGAAAAGAAATGAAAATGATGGGGTATGACAAGCAAAAGTGGAAATCATTTCACTTTATTATTTTAATTATTAATTTTAATTAGTTGCATATTAGTTATTTAACATTAGATTAGATCTAGGATCTAGCGCCGAGAGCTACTGTAGTGGCTCCGGCGGGGCGATATATACCTTAGCCCTCTGACGACCAAGTCAGTAAAGGTAACCCGAGTTGCCAGAGTCTGATATCGCCTTGGTTGAAGTCCGTCTTTCCCAAGACGCTCCCTTTTACCACAGATTACTTTATCCTTTGCGCTCGGGGGTCCCCTTTTTCCTTATCAATTTTCCTTTATTTCCCTATCCTAGTTTCCCTTAATCTTGAGTTGGTCCCACCTTGTAGGATTGCGATCCGCAACGTGACGTCATTTGCCATCGGGCTTTCGTGTTGGTGCACCAGTGGTGCTTTTCTCAGTGTTGGTTCTATCGGAATCTGGTTGCGACCGATCCGTTGTTGGTACTTTGCCATCGGGCAGTACGACGGTGTAGCGCTGCTACGTTTTCTTCTTTCCCGACGGGCTACGTTGCGACGTCCCCGTCGAAGACCTTATCAAGAGTATAAGGTGTACAAGGAGCTCTTCGAGCATTGGATTTACGACCCATCGGACCAGGTTTACCTAAACACCCCTCCGAACTCGTCGAGCAGTTGCCTTTACAAGTCTCTACCACAATTTACCGATCCCGGACTGGGCCCTTCTCTTTGCCCCCCCCCCTATCAGGGATCCGAGCTACTGCGGGCCGCAAACCCGCTTAAAGAGGACAGGGAGCTTCGAACACTCCGTAGCGCTGTGCCGTTGGCAGTTGTTGTTTTTGTTGCTGTTGTTTGTGTTGGACCGTCGGACCTTGGTCTCTGCCTAACAGGCGCATTGCACTACATTGATGGCATTTACACTTGTGAAGGTGGATGAAAATATTCTCAAAAGCCTTGAACGAGAGTACAGAAAGGACCCAGATTTCCACAATGCGTTTGAAAACCCAACTGCTCCGTTCAGTAAGAACAAAAACCGCCTCTACTTTGAGAATAGGCTCTGTATTCCCAAAGGAAAGATGAGAGAAATCGTGTTGCACGATATTCACGAATCTCTCTTTGGTGCACATCGAGGATTCAAAAAGACCTTACAATATGTCAGGAGACATTTCTATTGGCCTAGCATGAACAAAGAACTACATGAATACATCAAGACATGCCCAAAGTGTCAAGAAGCCAAAAGTCTAACCCAGAATAAACTGGGAAAATTCAGACCATTTCCGCCACCACTAAAGAAATGGGAACAGATATCTATGGACTTCATATTCGATCTCCCGAGGACGAATACGAACAAAACTGCTATACTTGTTGTTGTGGACAAACTCTCGAAACACACGCATTTTATTCCAATTGAATCAAACCACACTGCCAAAGATACAGCAGAGGTGTTCTACAACGAGATATACAAACATCACGGTCTTCCAAGAAAGATAATATCAGACCGTGACACAAGATTCACAAGTACTTTATGGAAGGAATTCATGAAGGTACTACGAGTCAAGTTAAACTTATCAACCGCCTTCCATCCCCAAACTGATGGACAATCAGAAAGGGCATTCAGAACATTGCGAGAAATGCTACGTTGCTTTGTAAGCTATACGCAAAGACACTGGAGCAAGCACCTACCAGGACTTGAGTTTGCGTACAACAATCACATAAGTGACACAACTAAACAAACTCCTTTTTTCCTAGAGTATGGTCAGCACCCACTCTCTGTTTCTGACGTCCTCCACTCTGATGGGTCAGAAACTCTTACTGTGACCACACAAAGGTTTTTGGAGAACATAAGAAGAGCCAATGAATTGGCAAAGCTGTCCATCACAGCTTCGAACGAACGAAACGCCGAGCAAGTCAACAAACATAGAGGATATCATTCATTTCTCCTAGGAGACCAAGTCATGCTCTCGACGAAGAACTTACCACTCAAGACAGGAAGAAGCAAAACGTCATCACCAAAGTACATTGGACCATTCAAAGTCATCGACATCCTAGCGCCCGGAAACGCATACAAGTTGAAACTACCACAGAAATATCAAAATCTTCATCCTACATTCCACATATCTCTTCTCAAACCATATTACGAGAATCAAAACAGAAGAACCATCGGACGCGAGTCTACATTTCAGACCGGAGACAATACCCCTACTACAATTGACATCATTTCCCACCGCAGCACTCAAGACTCTATCGAATTCCTAGTATCAGAAAAATCAGGAAACATACTTCAAGACAAATTGATTGATGAACAAGACCTTCCAAGCCACAAGCCTTCTACTCAACGTTACTTCGACTCCATCACATACTATCCACCGCCAAGTTTATTCGAGGACGAATTACTATCTTAAGGGGGGAGGAGTTGTAACGGTTGAAGGACAAGCACAGTATGTATATCTTTCTAATTTTACTTTGTTTAAACATACTGGGCGTGTCCTTCCCGAATGGACTGACTCCTCCATTCTTTAAAAGGATGGCATAGAACTACTCTATAATTTCTATGCCATACCTAAAAGACATGTCGAAGGAGGAGTACAGTATCCAGTAGTAATAAAGAGGATGGTCGGGGAGACTGAAAGCGAAGGACGTAAGCGATTTTATGGAGACAAGTAATAGAATGAATGCATAGTTTATTGTAGTCTAGCATGTACTGTATTTTTGTGCCCGGTCCCTTGGGCACCGTTAAATCAAGTTTTATTTGGTGGCCAGAGGCCGTTGGCGGGAATCCACCCGGTGCAAGCCTCCGCTCGTCGAGAATCCACTCGACTTCTCAGGAATCCACCTGATCTCGGCCTCTCCAATTCACTTGATGCCCTTTTCCTTTTTCTCGTCCCCCCTGCCGCCACGGGTTCCTTTTATGCTACCAACTCTGCGCCCTCTCGCCACCTCAAGCGCTCGGAACGCTGTCCCCCCCGCTCCGTCTCCCATCCCCCGCGACCCCCTGGCCCCACACGTGACCCCCCTGCGCCCCTTTTCCCCTTCGCACAGTCCCCGCCCTTTCTCTTCGCGTCCTCCCCGCGGCTCCGCTCCCTACTTCCAGGCGCAATTCCCCCGTTGGCCGGTGCTCGTCCGTGACCACGCTTATTTCCTTTCGCAGGCATTGCCGCCCTTTCAGAGAGCTTCCGACACGTGTACTGAAGCGCAACAGTATTGTTCTAAGTTTCAGCTACGATTTCTATAAAAGGCGCGGAGTTCGGACGGGGAAAGCAAAAGGGGGCAGGCACAACCACTCACTAACGATGAGAGCCACCCAACCTGCAACCCCAATTGTGTCCAACTTAAGACCCGCTTTGCAAAACCCATTCAACACAAGTAGGTCACTCTGTCCATTTTATTAACCCTGCGCACCGCTAACCAAATTCCTTTCTGTATGTGTATCATATTTTTGTGAACTGGCATGGAAATGCGTGTGCCTCAAATATTTGTGTAAGACATGCGTAATGCCTATACACCCTGAGAGCATCTCCACCGCGCAGGCAAATTGTGGCCATTTCTAAAATATGGCAACCGACGCTTGATTTTGGTCTCCACCGTACAAATCTGTGCACAAATATGTTTCACAAATCCTATGATAAATAGAATTTGTGTCGTGAGGGCACACATAATTTTTGATTATGTTGCGCTTCACGTCACAAATCCCATTTTTTGGCAACATTATTCAGCTTGAACGGGCTGATTTTTTGTTACTTTTAGACACCGAAACTGAAAGAAGGTGGGAAGCTATGGGTACACTTGGCCCGCCAAAACGTCTGAGCATCCGAAATGAGCAGTGGAGAGTCTACGATCGCACCACACATACCCGCATTCACCTATCCGTAAACATTGTACGCGATTTAGTACTCATTTGTTATGGTAGTTCGCGGGCGTGGATGGGGGCTGACTGAACTCGACCATCTGGCACAGGCGTGGGTGGCGACATCTGAGAATTCCGTTACCGGAATCCACGAGACGAGTGAGCGCTTTCGCACTGCGCTTCAAAAGTCTTTTGTTGCTTTCAACAGTCTTTATGAAGACCGCGACCTGAAGCGCTTGAGGTCGCGCTTGGATGAGATGGCGAGGGATGTACCAAAGGTCGGAAAAAGCATACACACAATTTACGGATTCCGTCCGACCGGTGTGGACGAGGAAAATATGTTCTGCATGGCACTGGCACTACGTCTCAAGAAGCTCAAGCCGACCTCTCCCGACTTCGGCGAAAACGACATGCATAACTTCAAGGAATTCGATACAACCAAGTGCCAGTACTCTGTGGTCTGCAAAACATTACAGAAGGAAGACGCGGAAGTTTTGTTTAAATATTTACAACCATGCATCAGTGTAGTGTAATATGGGGCTCTACAAGGCGGTGAAGGGAAAAGAACCTAAGTTGGAATGTGAATCCTGTAGTCCGGGATTGGGGGACACACGTGTGAATATTTTCACAGTTTATATTTTAATTATTAATTTTATTTAGTAAATTAGTCAGTATTAATTTGGCTGACACTAGATTAGATCTAGGATCTAGCCCCGGGAGTTACCAGTGGCTCCGGCGGGGCGATACATACCTTAGCCCACTGGCCACCAAGTCAGTAAAGGTAACCCGAGTTGCCGGAGTTCAATGTCGCCTTGGTCGAAGTCCGTCTCTACCAGGACGCTCCCTTTTACCTAACCCTACGGCATCCTTCAGCGCTCCGGCGTCCCCTTCCTTTTTCCTTTATTTCCCTATCCTTTACTTCTCTATCCTAATTTCCCTTAATCTTGAGTTGGTCCCACCTTGTACGATTGCGATCCGCAACGTGACGTCATTAGCCATCAGGCTTCTGTGTTGGTGCACCAGTGGTGCTTTCCTCAGAGTTGGTTCTATCGGAATCTGGTTCCGACCGATCCGTTGTTGGTACTTTGCCATCGGGCAGTACGACGGTGTAGCGCTGCTACATTTTCTCCTTTCCCGACGGGCTACGTTGCGACGTCCCTGTCGAAGACCTTATCAAGGGTATGAGGTATCAAGGCGCTCCACGAGCATGGGATTTACGACCCAGCCGGTTCGGTCTGCCTAGACGCCCCCGCACTCGTCGAGCATTTGCCTTTTCAAGTCTTTACCACACCTATAATCGCGGGCCGGGCTTTTCTTCCTTTGCCCCCCCTTTTAGGGATTCGAGCTACGGCGGATCGCAAGCCCGCATAAAGAGAAAGGGAGCTCCGAGCACTCCGTGGCATTGCGCCGCCGGCTGCTTTGGTCGTTTCGTTTGGTTGTTTGCTTTCGGGCCGTGAAAATCTTCGACCATGTCCACTGCCTACCCGGCGCATTGCACCAGAATCAGTGGCTATCAATAAAGGTCATAATTTACGGGTCATCGCAGAAGTTTTAGAAGGAGACCTGTAAAATGATGATAATATCACAGACGAGCCGGTACCGAGTATAGCCCCCCGTTTGCGTGCAGCAACGGGGGGTCATAGGGGAAGGAAGGCTGCCAAAGATCGGGTCGAGCGGGCCTTACGTGAGAAAAAGAGGCAAATGACGTTACAGTCCATCGGAGAGAGCATGAAGAAGAGCTCTGCAATGGAGGAGTCCAACGCGCTTAAGTCCTTCGGAATGCGTCTAGGAAATGATACGGCTGAGGACGCCATTGTCGAAGATTCATTTCTTCGCCGCATTTGCCAGAAGCACAAGCTGATTGCTGATGCTGCGCGCAACGCCGCGGACCATTTTGGTTCTGCTTGTCCGAGAACTTCCGGAATAGTTCCTGCAACTGAGACTGAAAGCTCACGGCATAACCTTTCAAGCACGCATGACGAGGAGAACGCGTACAATGTTGAGCATAACAACAAATTTGCGTGATTTTACAGGACATCCGCTACTACTTTAGTGGTAAGGAGGGTTTGGATTAGCAGACACAAGTAAATAGATGCTTCGCACCACCTCACAGAATGGTTCACTTCATAAACATGATTATAATTACAACTTGAATTGCACTGTACTCTTTTTACAGACTCCGATTCGGGACACAGTAATAGCATCTCGATGCGGAGGTCCAAGTCAAGTAATTAACTACCTGTAAATCATAGATTATGATGTTAAACTGCTCTGTGTGGTGTTCCTGGATACCCTTTTCCCTTCTTGAAGTCACGGCCTGAAACATGATTTTTTTTGTTGCATCCCTAGGCATGACGACCGATCAGTCCAATACCGTGCAATGCGGTCCATGCTTTCAGCTTCACGCCCCTACATTGTACTTTAAATCCCGCTGCAGCTCAGCTCTTTTGCAGCCTCTCTCCGATACGCACCTCCATTAAATTTGTTTGCATATGGGTTTGTAAAGGAACCGCAAAAGAACGACAGCTTTGCTTCATACGTCCCTTTGTATACATTCAATGAAATCCGTAAGGGCCTTCTATGTTCAGATGTAACTTACATCTGAACATAGAAGGCCCTTACGGTTTTCCGTATTGGTCTCTTGCGGGCATCTTCGTGATCTCTACGATTAGATTCTGCCAAGCCGGTGTTCCTGCAGAACGTGTGCCTACTTTGTCATCAAGCCTAACAATCAACCCGAGCACGTCCTCCGCCGTTGCCCCCAAACGACCCCTACCACATGACGCTCGCTATCAAACCACTTGTTCCATTCGTCTTGTGCATACAGTGGCATTCTCTACGACCTCATTCACCCCTCCGAGGCGTTTGTTGGACTCAGAATGTAGGGTAAAATAATATGGTTTGACTGTGACAAGCCACTCTTCACAGCCTATGCATGTGCCATGATGTCTAGCACTTTATCCCCGGTTCCGGCGACTAGAACCACTCGCGTGCAACTGCATAGGTCTTTTAGTCGCAGCACTTGTTGCGTCATGGAGTCCTGCACTCGAAGGCTGACTATTCGGGCCCCTCTAGACATTCGCTCGACACGCCGTTCGAAGCTATAACCTAGATCAACTGCCTGAGATTTTTCTTCCACTCCAACAACTTGGCCTCCGGCCGTCCTGCACCTGATCAATTTTCTAACCCTTAGCAGCGTGAAGTGGAACGGTGAAGACAGAAATAGTGCTGCATGCGGGCTGTTCGTAGCTGTGGGGTCACCCCTTCAATCTGCAGATGAACACGTTAAATATCTCTTGCTAGAAGAAGTTCAGTGCGAATTGTACTGATCTGGTTGCATCCATCATGATGGCAGCAACAATAGGTTGGAAGCAATAAAAAGAAAAATTCGTTTATTCAAGCGATGTCACAGCAAGTTTTGCCTTCCGCCACAGCCAAATGTGTTGAATGAGATATTATCTAGGCTGGTCATACTTAGTACCATCTTCTGACTCCATTTGACGTTGAGACGCAAGAGCTGCCCAAGTACCTGGAGCTGCCGTCCAGCTCGTTTCGCAC